AATATATAAAATATATATTCCCATATATACTAAGGAGTTTACAAAAATGCATCTGTTGGGTGCAGGAAAAAAATCTCTTAAGAAACAGCAAAAGTAATACAAGAAAAGTTCCATTGTTTGTTGCTTATGACAAATAGAGAAGACTGAAAAGACAGGTAAAATTAAAACTCAGTTCTTGCTTTCTTTGAAATTACTACATTTCAAGACATATATAATTAAACTTCCTATTGCTGGAACCTTGATTTTAGGGAAAAGAGTGGATCATACATGTGCTCAGAACAAATTTCTTACATCAGCAATTCCACAAGTCTTCTGCAGACTCCTGCATCAATCACAGCCTGGATTTTATCATTGGGGCCATCAGACAAATAGGACAAAGCCCAGCAGGCATCAGCTAATACATCTGTATCATTGACAAAAAGCAGCCAGGAAAGCACACTTAGACAAGGTGAAACCTGTAAGACATTAAGAGGAGATACACACATTATGCAATCAAAAGGGCCAGAAGACACATTAACATGTCAGTTAATTCTGTATGTGACACTACAGGACTAGGAACTGGGATCGTGAGGTTCAATCCTCAGAATATTTCAGACCTGTGTAAGACTTCTATGCAGGGCTGTAGCTATACAAGTGTGGAAAAGCATGTCAACAGGATAGCACCGTGAGAATTCTGCAGTCTGGCAGCTTCAGCTCACACGTGTCCACTAAGATCTGCCATACTTCACACTACAGCCACCAGCATGTACAGTTGCATTCTGCTGTGGGATGGTCACCTCTGGTACAGGAACAGTAATAAAAAGCTAGGGGGACAGCTATGTTGAAACAGTTGTTGTCAACATCTGCCCAATGGACTAAATACATTCAAAACCTTCATCTGTAAGAAGCCCCTACGTTGTTTCAAAGAAATTCTGAAATATTTCTGCTGTTTAGTTTAAGTTTCACTACCCTTATTGCTAATTTGGCTACCACCACCTCCCAGCACGCTTCCTTTCAAACATCTCTTACCTTGGCAAAATCTGGCGGAGGATTTTTCCCTCTGCAGAGGTTGGAAAGAGCCCATACAGCATTTCGGGTCATAGTGAGACGGTTCTGTTTTGAAAGCAATCTAAAATAAACCAACAAAAAATTCCAACCATTGCTTTTTAGAAATGAAATCCAGACAGCCCTGTAGGGTCAACTGCATGAATCGTTAAAATAACTCAGGCCTACATTTTAACATACACCAGGACAAAACATGCTATATTTGGGGTTTTGTTTGTTTGTTGGTTTGTCGTTGGTTTGCTGGTTTGTTTTTTTTTTTTTTTTCCTCCATAAAAACACATCCTGAGGAAAATCATGCTTGATAGTGGGACACTAACACACATGCTAGTAACATGCATCCTAGCATCCTGACAAGAACAATAACCATTATACTGAAAGTATGCTAATTTAATTGCTTAGATACTGGTGTGGCAGGTTACGAGTCAAAAGGTGCAGGAACTGTGACGAAGTTACTCCAAGTGGCAGGATGTGTAAGTAGCTTTGGAGAGCACTCTCTTTGCTGAACAGCATTTTTATGTAAGTCTCAAACTATCAGCCCCACATCGACACATTTGTATGTTAATTTGTGAAGGAGAATAAAACTTATCCTCAGAAAACATATACAATCAGGTTTAAGGTTTCCTAAACATTCAAGAGTCACGTATCTCACAGCAAGCACCATTGAGAGACTCCCTGTGCACACTGGCTCCAGTCCCAGTGTAGGAAAGCCTTGCCCACTGGGTTCTTGCTAGAACATGATTCTACAGACCACCCCAATCAGTCTCTTCCTGCAGTTAAGGGGCAGCATCCACACACCAGCTGCAGAGTTCAACTTCTGCTCCATAAGACAAGTAAGCCCAGCGATGTGTTGAATGCTAATCCTGACACCTTCACGAGATGTGAGAGGGCAGTTTTGGTGTGCACATTAGGACTACTGCCCTGACCAAATGCGTGCCAGCCACTGTTAGGCTGTGAGTCCTCTTGGGTGAGATCAGCACTGACAGCACGGTCTTCTTGCACTCCCAGCCCTGACTTCTAAAGGTGTCTGAGGAGGTGGCTGTGGAGAAGACTGTGGAGTCAAACACAGTGTGTAGCCTCTAAAAAAGGCATTTTCCTGACAACTTCAAAATGACTAGTCACAGTGCTCTTGGGCCTAGAAGGGATAGAGAAGGGCAATACCTAGTGCTTCCACTAGAGCAACAACTTAGTTTCTTTTTCTCACAGCAATCCTGCACTGTACCAATGACCTTATGAGAGCAGCAGAGAACTCTACTGCTGCAAACCCCGTGTTCAAAGGACAAACTAAGTAATCCTAATTTGGACATGACAATGCAAGATGGTGTCACTGTTTCAGCAATAAATGATCCTTCAGCAGAGGACATCAAGATAGTTAGCAGACTAGAAAAATGAAGCAACAAGAGGGTTAGAGACTTGGATTTGTTACACCTTAGGAGGACACTGCATAAGAGGAGAGAGACGTAACTGCTGCCTGCAGCACTTTTAACGTGGATATAGAAAAGAGGAAGCTAGACACTTCTACTTCTCACAGGTATGTAGTGGCAGGACAACAGACAATTGTCACAAGATAAAACAGAAAATTCTGATTAGCTGTCAGAACACTGTATTTCACCATGACACAGTCAAATACTGCAATAGGTTGCCCCAGGTGATTACAGAATCTACCTTTGATGTTCCAAATTTGACTGGTTAAGTAGTTGAGCAATCTAATCTGATCTCACCTCCTATGAAGAAAGCCTCTGACTAGATGACCTCCAGAGGTACCTTTCAACTTAAATTATTCTATGACTCTATAAAAAGGCCAGGCATGCACCCACTCTGTAAAGTAGTTCCTGCTTAGCTGCTCCTAAAACACGTTTCCATTTTAACTCCGTTACAACAGTAGTTCAGGAACCCCCAATAAAAAGTCTGATTAGTCCACAATAAACAAATTCCTCAAGGCAAAAAACAAACTTCAGCCTTATCAAACACACAAGCACAATTCTGGAAAACATATTAAAACAGACTTACTGCAATAAAGGTGGCAGGATATTACAGTCCAATACATAGTCTCTGCACATAGTGCTGTCTCCAGCAATGTTGCCAAGAGCCCATACTGCCTGCAAGGAAAAGCAGAATAGTAATTGCTTTTTTTTTTTCTCATAATTCAACAAGTTTAGCACATGTATTAGAGAGGGAGAGACTCTGTTCTCACTGTTAGATCCTGGACAATGCATTCTGGTTGAGTACTGCATATATACACCCAAGCTCATTACAATTCAGGAATATTTACACAGATCTAAGAGTGAGACCAAAACTGGCAACGTGTATGTCTCCAGAGGCTTTACAGGCAGACATAACCCTGCTCTGTCCACTATATAAGAGATGAGCTTATCTCCTCAGGATTAGCAACACACTAACTTCCTTCTTGTTCAGATCTGGTTCAAGTCCAGATATTCATAGCACAGATCAAGCAAGTCTGCATCTACCCAGAAGTGTCTGGATGGAACAGCCCATATTAGTATCTCCCAAGAAGCCATAAAAGCATGCATTGTCTGCACAATCATATTAAGAATGCTGACACCAACTAAGATGAAAATGAGGAAAAAAAAAAAGGCAAGAAAAAAAATCAATATCTGCAATGAGAGTTCGGATGGGCATTGGCATATATTCTTTAAGAGAAAACTACATAAAGCAGAATCAGTGTTGCCTATTAAGTGTTTGCAATGCATATGCATGGCAAAATGCAAGGACAGGTATTTTCTCCCTTGGACATCAGTACTACTGTAACCATTTTGAGAAGAAAACATCTAAAATACCAGAAGCGTGGTATAAGAATGAAAAAAGCACGAAAGCCATCTTTTGTAATATGATGAGAATAAAAAGTTTAATGTTTTTTGATTAATAAGTTTGGGTCAAGTGGTGTATTTGCTATCACTGTCCACTGGTAAGAGAGCTATAATTGAGAAAAAATTACAAGTTGTTTATATGAAGTATAAAAGCCATAAATTTTATTAATTCCATGTGATTTAGAGACAATATTTCATCACACAAGTGCATGAAACTCACATTTACTATTTATTTCAGATTAGCAGAGTTCTATTGATCATGGACAACATCTGAATGTCCCCCCGAAATTTCTCTTCAATTGTACACAATGTATTTATTTGCAGCAAAATGTGTTACAGTGCATAACTATTTCTCCAGCTGAACACACATTAAATTCCCCACACAAAATAAACACGTTTTTCTCTCCACATCTCTACTTGAATTACTCCTCTAAAAAAAAGACAGAATAAGCCAAATTTGTTACCTAAACAAAGTCCTCCTATAATCTGAAATTAACTTTATTTGTTATTGATATGATGTCAATTGATCTATTTCATAAGATTTCTACTGCAACACATTTTTAAATGGTGACAAAGACCCTACTTTAAAAAACAGACTCTAATCACCCTAGAGGCCTGAAATCACTAGAAAACACTGCAAAATTACTACTGCTAAAACCAGATGTATATACAAAATGCAGATACATAAAAGGCAACTCCTCTGTATCTGTGCTACCAATAGATAGATCAACTGCAAGTCCCTAAACTACAAGTTTTAAGAGACTAGGAGACTATTCTAGGGCAGGATTAGTTTATTTTGTTCTCCTACTGTTTTCCAGGCTTCTGGTGTCAGCCAGAGTCAGACAGGGCACTGGGCTATACAGAGCTTTGCTGTGAAACAGCACAGTCATTACTATGCAACACCCTCCCCCAAACTGATTTTCATCATGAAAAATTACTTTCATTCCAACACCTGTAACTGTTGTGACAACACTTTGTCTGAAATAAAAGTATAACCTTGGGTCTGACAGTCCCACAGACTCAAGATGAGGGCAGCTACTGGAAAAAGTCAGCTTAAGTGACAGGACATATGCCATCCTCTGCAAAATTCTTATTAGAACTGTAAGAGCCACGCTTGTTGCTCACGGCAATGCCTGTATTTCTGCAGCAATGAGGAACCCGGGAAAGGAATCAAACATTTCAGCTGGTTCTAAGCAAACTTGTAGATCTTCTAAAAACATTTAGGGCTGAAAAAGGTTAAAATTTGCAACAATTTTCTGTGATTAAACATGTGGGTAACTCTGTATGAAGATACAATGCCCTTGCCTGGACACTCTTGCACCCATTAAAACACCGTTGGAAGCCCTACTTCACTTGTCTGGGCACTTTGTTTCTGCCATTACAGCAGTATCTATTTTTAGGGTTGACAACAGTGATAATCACTTAATCCAAGAATCCATTCTGACCCTGAATGACAGACTGGTTTTGCAATAGCAAATCTCATGTGAAGGAGTCTGTCCAGAGAAGTCAAACAGCATCTCTGATGCTTCCCCACTCTTGATTTTTTTTTATGGCAAGAGAAGTGTGGCCAAGTAGTGTGATATCATAGACTTACACAACCTTGTAAGAGAGGATGTTGCAAGAGATCCTTGCAATGCTAATGACTGAAACAGTATACAAGATAAAGAAATTTAAGTATCTTTAGAAAAGAATACAAAGTTTCATGCAACAAGGAAGGCATCTTTCTTTAAAGATTTACTTCAGGTCTCCAAGTAAGTGAGGAACACAAGTGAAGCTCAATTTTAACTCTTCTCGTCGTACACTGCTAGCAATACAAAGCTCTGATATACTTCCCACAGACATGAACAATGGCATGTGTCTTCAGGGTTTGTCAAGTAATGGTCAGTGATTTCTACTGGTTCTTCTGGGCACCCCTCAAGATACAAATGGCTTGCTAGGTTTAACATAGGCTTCATTCTACACATTCCAAATGTTTTTATAGTCTTTTCTGGATTATTGCAGAGGTAAAAGGATGTTTAAAAGGATAGTAAATTTCAGAGTTTATTAAATCCAAAAAAAAATCCCTCCAAGAAACAAAAAATATCTACTTCAGTACCTTCCAATATCTACAACCAGACCTGAAGATGAAGAGAACCTGCAGCTTTAAGATTTGTAGACTGACTTGGCTACCTAAGATGTTAGTTAACAAGTTGTGTGTAAAGTGAAAATGAAGGCAATGCATTGTCAACTGGCTGCCTCTATTTTTATACACCCACATAAACTTCCGCTTGTCAGTAATAGTGGATTAGGGACTGTTGCAGCTCTCCAGTTTATTTTACTCATTGCTAAACTCAATGTTTTTTCACGTGGTTCTGGACAACTTCAGCAGTCAGTAAAGTGCAAGTTTTGTAGAGTACTTTTGAGCTGTATGTTGCTTTCTGTGAACAATCCATGTGCATCCTACGAACCCTCCCTGCCCACCTGGATTCCAAAGGCTCTCAGCCATTATCTCGCCAGGCCTGTGAGTAGTTAAAACAAGTGCTAAACCAACCACCAACAGTGAGTTGAGTCTGTGTCTCTTGGTAGCGAAGTTTTAGGAACTGAGAATTAACACTTCCTCTACTTCTGGTCACTGACTTGGGGAACGGATCTAATGCTGGGATGAAGATGGTGAAAATTAGTTTGCATTCAAGTATGATCAGATAAGTGAACAGAAGGACAGATACCAGAAGAGCATATTTCTAGGAGAAAATTTCTACTGTGCCCTACCACAGAAAACACCTCTTTCACTGGCTGGGGTGGCCATAGTTCCTTACTTCTCACATCTCATCCACTTAAAGAAAGTAACTCATACTCATGCCTCAACTGTTTTTCCTGCTTTTGATACCAAGACCCAGTTAGTAGGACTCCTGATGTAAAAGCAAAACACAAATTGTACACCAGACTCACAGGTCACCTCTGCCAAATAAAGAATGGTTACCAAAAGGAACAGCAATACAAACAGAAATGGAAAAATACTGAGGGGAAAAAAAAAAACATTGGTTTAGTTGAAAATGCAAACATCCCCAGAGGAGAACATGGCAGCTGGGGAAGCTCCAGCCACCAGCTGTCCAACAGAGCCCAGCAATATCTGTCACTGCAAGACAAAGCCACCATCTCATCCAGAGAATGTGATGCCTTGCATGGTTTTTGAAGGAAATTCAATGTTCATCAAGGAAACTGAGGTTGACACCTAGGTTTTAAATAACACAGCAACGAAACCTAGGAAAGAACTGTAGCTAAGACACTGCTGAAGCTAGACCAACCTTAAGTATGTCTAAAGGGCTTTGATGTATAAATAATTTCATGGTAGCATATCTACATTTCTAGATGCCTTTTGGAAGAAAATATTGTGATAAGCGAAAGAAGCTAGGACATAGGCCACTGACAAAGTAAAATTCAGGGCACCAAAGAATGAAACATGGAGAGGTGGGGAGATGCAGGCAAAGTGTTCTTCATAAATAATGGAGACGTAGCTTCTGTAATAAACTCAGTTTCTTCGATGGGAAAAATGGATGCCAAGTGATTTGACCACTGGTAACAGAGAAAGACTGATACACGATCTGGGAAAGAATGGTATACAATGCAAACAATGAGAGTTTAAGGATGGTCTGGTAATTAAATGTTAGCCTGTGTAGTTTAATGGGGAACAGGCCTTGTAAAAGGACATAAGATATGATTTCATCATAATACACGTTGTTTAACACACAGTTATAAAGATTTCCCACCCCCCCCCAGACTTCTACAAAAATCACTGATTTAGAAACCCAGTATACTCAGAAGCTAGCACATGCAAAAAAACCACAGCATAACACATTAGATTAAAACTGGCTTATAAATATGAAAAATAACTGTTTGGAAAATCATGATCAGTTAAAGTAAACTGGCCTAAGTTCTGGAGTCACTGCTAAGCAGGGTTTAAGAGAAAATACAAACTCAGTGGTGTAAGTCTATAACACTGACTTACTGTAAGATAAAAGCAGTTTATAACGATTAGCCAGTAAGTCCAATTAAAATAGTATTATGTGTTCTGGTTTGGGGGGTTTGTTTGGTTTGGTTTTAGTTTATGCTATGCTGAATATTCAAAATTATATTACCATTAATAATTCTTTCTACAGAATTAATATCCCACTCAGCACAAATAGTAGCTTACTAAATATAGCTTTCAATATTTCTTTTTCACTTCACTATATGGTTGTAGGGCTACCTTCTGGCCCATCTGCCCTGAACATGCAGTTGTCTTCTCTGTATTTTCCTACATTTTTGTAATTTATTGCAAAAGTAGTAAGAGTTGTCTGCAAATATTAGTCTCCACAGTACTACTGTAAGAAAAGGTAAGAATCATCATTTCATAGAAAAGAAAATTATGGCCAAATATCTTTCACTTTCAGAAATCCAGCTAGAGATATCCAGGACAAGATCAGCTCAAAACACAGACCTAACTACAGAAGTCACTTGCAGAAGCACTGAGTTGTCCTCAACTACAAAACAAAATGGAAATATTTCACAGTGAGCATCAAAAAAACCCACAGAACTAGTATCCACTTACTGAAAAACAACATAAGCAAATCTACAATTGCCTTAGTTGTAAGAATCTCTCCCCTTTTCTCCTTCATTCACAGTAACAGGTTCCAACTTGAACAAACAGGGCCAGAGTGTGACAAATAATAGATTCATTTACTACTCAATGTTTTGTTACCAGGGCAACTATTTGTACATACACTGAATGAGATGAGTCTCATCTGGAAAAGTTCTATTTGGTTGTGCCCTGATGCTATCCTGTAATGCAGAAGTACAAGCCTTAACTTTTAACTGCTTAATGCTTTTAGTTTTTATTTTAGTAGCTATTATGGTGAAGTGTGTTGGTTTTTTTCAAAGCTGTTGGAAAAACATCTCTTTCATGTTGGCCTGTGTGAAACACCAAGTCAGCTGTCAGCAGGGCTCTGCTCTGCAGCACAGAAACCCACTAGGAGAAGGTGTAGTGAACACTCTGCAGTGAGGCAGCTTCCTGCTCTAGCATAGCTTACTACAGAGCAATTTGTTACTGCTAGTTAGAGACTTACTGGTAACAGATCATGGATTCAGCACTTGAATTGCATAGAAAAATATTTTCCAGTAATTACAACCCCCTCTGCCCACAATCTGAACTTTCACTCATCAGCAGTTTATTAGGAGGCAGAGGAGGACAGAGAAACTTTTTAACCATGGCCCCTAAGCTCTTCTGTTAGTGATGCACATACTAAGGCTGAAGGCTCCACAACTCATTCTAAAAACATCTCTTCCCAACAGCTCTATGACCACAAGCAAGGATAACAACAACCACCTCATAAGAAAAAGTTACTTTTTACAGATCATTAGGAGCCAAAAAAAGGAGTTGCCCTCACCACACCCAAAGCAGTGATGATTCTGCAGGATCAGCACTCCCTGCACTGATGGCTGAATTTGGAAAGTCACACTGTCAATTTCAACCCCCAAAAAACAAACTCTAAAAAGCCTCATATAGCTAAGTCTGAATGGATTTTCACATGGGCAGAACAGAGCATTTATCTGCCACTTGGGCAAGCTCCTTCTCATTTCCAGTTTCTACAATGGACACTAACATCCTCAAAGGAAGCTAAGAAAAAAAAAAAATCTTATTTCCTTTAATACCATTTTCCTCAATCACCCGAATTCAATTTCTCTTAGAATATATTTTGAAAAATAATTCACCCTGAGAGAGAAAGTTGCAGAGCAGGAGAACTAGAAAGCCATAGGGAACTGAGAAAAAAAAAAAAAAAATCTGTCTTATGGAAAATGTTAGGCAGCCTTAAGTAGAGGTGGTATATTCTGAGTCAGGTATAAGAAAGAAGGGCAAGTTACACAAAGCAATACAATGCTTATCAGTTGGGACTCCTCCAATCATGCATCTCAACACAGCCAAATGCAAGGTCAGACATCTAGGAACAAAGAATAAACTCACACAGAGGATGGAGAACTGAACCCTGGAAGTCAGTGACTCTGAAAAGAACAATGGATCATATTGGATAATCAGCTTAACCTGAGCTTGCAGCCCAGTTCTCTGGCAGAGTCTGCAAGGACATCCGGGACATTTACACACCAAAGTATCAAGCAGAAATTAAAATGATGTACTATCTCTGCAAACAGCATTGCTGGAAAAGTGCTACTGGAATATCCAGTGCTTACAATTTCACCACCACAAAAAGACACTGAAACTAAGTTGAGAAAAGGGTTACCAAAAAAACAAACCAACCACCACAGAAATACCCTCAATGAGAATTCAGAGCTTAATTTCATTTGCTCAAGAAAAGCTTAAGCTACGGCCTATAAGTAGCTATGGGAAAAAAGAGAACTGAGTAGAGAATGAAACAAAGGCAAATACCTGGACCCAAAGCTAGTCCAATTTGTACAATAAAGGTACATACTTTAAAGTTAGAATTACGATTAACTGAAACTCTATTGGTTAACATGATTAATATTTCATCACACTAACTCATCAAAGCAAGATTATATGTCTGAAATACATCCTAGTTCAAACACAAGATAGGGGCCTCATCTGGAAATCACTGAGTCAAATGTTTGGCCTGTGCTTTACACGGATCCTTTGGGGCCTTAAAGAATATTCACCTAGATTGTAAGGATCACAGAGAACAAACTAATTTTCCCTGTAGAGAATAAACTATAATTTCCACTTGTGCTTTATCTTCAGGAGAGACAAGCATGAACTTTCCATCCCTAAAGCAATTTTTTAAACAAGACTTCTTGAATTCCTCAATACACAGAAAAATACTAACCTAGCACTACCCCATCAGCTGTGGTTAAATTTATCATTCCAGAAAAAGAAAAATACAATATTTGTGTAGGTATCTTAACACATGCTACATGGAAAGGAAATGCTGTGCAAAACTGCCAAAAACCACTACATTTCCTCTAAAGGCTTTCTTACAGGATAGCCTTGTTCCTTTCTGGGAAAGGAAAAAAAGCCAAATAATAAACCAAAACCAAACAAAATATTCCCCAAACCCTAACCCCGCAAACCACCACACACACACACCCCAACACCATTCTCAGTAGTTACCTGTTCCTGTACATCTTCAAACTCTGAACTGAGCAGCTCAATGAAGATGGGGACGGCTCCTGCCTGGATCACTATTCGGGTCTGAAGGGAATTTCCCGAGGCAATATTTGTCAACACCCACGCAGCTTCAAACTGGAAAACAAAATCCAGACCACAATTTACTGGAAGCTTTCTGTAATGCACCAAAAATGAAGACTAAATGCCTTTTAAATACAGAAAGAATTGGCATAGGGAACGTATCAGATATTACTAATCAACACAGAGAATTTACAAAGAATCAGAATCATAGAGTTAAGAGTTACCAATATCACTTGCAATCAAAATCTGCACAAGTTCCTAATGAGAGCAAGATCAGGTTTGCTGTGTCTTTTCAAACATAACTTTTTGCTATGTGGTTATATCATCTTTGGTCTGTTCTACTGCCTTTCTTTACTGGCTAAGAGGCTAGACACAAAAAAATGAGTCTCCCCACAAGGCGTCCGACAGCTGGAATCACTGAATCAGCAATGATAGAACTGAAGATGCAAGAAGGGACAGTGTTCAGCAAAATTTGATGGATATAAAGCAATAAAAGCTATTAAAGAACCACCAAAACATCAAAATAAAAAAAAAAAAGGAAAAGAGATTAAAAAAAAATATCAAAACCACACCACTAAAAATACCCCAAACTTTATGCCCATGATCTGATAGAATTCTGCAACTACAATGTACTCTGCTCCAACTCTGGTGATCAGTGGTGCTGTTAAGAGTTACTAGTGGATGTTGATTTTATGCAAGACTTGAAGTAAAACTTGAGATCCTCAATTAACACACTGCATCTTTTGATTTAACTGGTTCTGTAATTTATTTTTATTTCAATCCTAACTTACAAAAGCATTAACTTTTTAAGCTAAAGTGCAAATTTTAACATCACTTGATTTCTAGGATGGTTTCTGAGGTGTGTATCTAGATTTTTGCATGTTTTTCAGTACAAAATTATTACACTACACTAGTAAGCTTAAATCCTATCAGATACATTCAGAATCTAGAGAACAAACAAACTGCTAAGAGTTGAAAAGGCAAAAAAACAAACAAAAGTGGAAAGTTGTATGCTATAAATGGCCCATTTTGACATTACTAAGCAATTTTATTAAACTGATGCTGATCCAGCAGTATTCCAGTGAAAATCCAGATATACTTTCCAAGGCTAGCTATCTCTGAAGAGCAGCAAGGACTTGTATTTAGGATTTAACCATAAAAGCTGCTAAGGAGACACAGAATCCTGAAATCAGCCTGAAATAAGAACTTAACTCAGCCTTGGCTTGTAAGGTTTTTAATTTTTAATTGGTGAGTAAGGCCATGAGAATTTGACTTGGTCTATGACTGCTATTGAAGTTTTTTAAATTATAGGTGTACCTGCATTTGATGAAGTACCCTTTACCCTTATTTTCCCTTCTTACTCAAATATGTCCTTCAAATATGATGTGCTTGCTTCCCTTTATCTGTCTTAAGTTTCCATGCTAGACCTCTCTAAGTAATAGAATACATTCCATTTTTTTATACCAGATTGCTTACAAACCTTCCACTGGAGCTGCAAATCAACTGGCTTAAATCTGGTACATACTCTTAGTTATTGTCCAAAGACTCCTCAAAGGTAGCTAACAGACCTTTGGAATTCCATGGATATCAATCTGAAAAGTAATATCTATAAATTATACTTTCTCTAATGCATAAGAAATAAAGTATAAATTTTTTGCTTACATATACTCACAAAAATTTGGATTCCACATAGCCTTAACAAACTTGTTGCCTCATATGCAATTTGAAAGAACCTTGGTTCTAATCTATATCTTATATTTAATGGTTAACTGTTAATACTTTTTTTTTTAACTAGATTATTAATTTTCTTTCATTTTCTACTAGCTTTCTACTACTCTTTTCTTTCTTATTTCCCAGAGCAAAGAATTCTGGCCAGGAAAAAAGGACAGCTGAGAATGAAACAAAGTTTCAAAAAGCAAGTCCAAGGCAAATTAACCAAAACTGTAACAGCCAAAATCTAGTTTTTCAAATTAAAGCAAGTAAGTTTTAGGGCTTCTATGTTTATCATTAGGGATTGTAATTATAATTCTAAACTGTTTTTAATTTCATCAAAAATTTAAGTCATAATTCTAAAGATTTAAAAGTGCCTTCAATTAGCACAAAAAAAGATAAACACTGAAGTTTAGTTTAATAGTTTTTCACCTGTTGAGGTCCAGGTTTCAAACTCTGGTTTTGTTACATGACAAGTGTAAAGACACCATCGTAGTCTTCACACAATTTAACTATGACATCTCTTTCTCCTGTCCCCAGGGGTCTTGCTAGAAACTCTGAAGACAAAATAGCTTTTCAACCTCATGAATAAAAAGAAAGGAGAGGATGTATAGGTAATAAAACAAATCACTGATTTTATTTCCTTCCTAGTTTGCATCACCAAATGCCTTCGTAATATAGGAAGACAGATTTATTTATATTTGTATACCTGTAATGTACAGTTTTCTTTTCGTTTGAGGAACTCCACAAACCTGGCCACCACTCCTGGCGTGCTTATGACTTCATCTATTGGAGGATTGGGTTCTATTCAAAATAAAAAGCAAATTTAGATACATTAGTTCCTTTGTATGGAAGTTTTCAAATTATTGCATCAAAATAATATCCAATGACATACTGACCTGCCTTTTCTGAATGTCTTTTTCTATAATACCGCTTTACCTTCACTAAAAGGTAACAGAGTCCTGCCTGTCACCATGAGACTTCAGCTTGAATTCTGAGGTAATGAGGTAACATGATTCAAAACACTAATGCATTTAGTAATTTAGGCAGAGCAGCTTCACAGCAGTAACCCTGAAGTCACTCTGGCATGCATACATGCAGAGAAACTTTGGTACATGGGCATATTTGAGCCATAGAGGCACTGCCCAGAATGTTCAAACATATTCAAGAGTAGACAACACATCTGCATAACTTACTAGTTACATAGATTTCAAGAAGATACATGACTATTACATGTATCTAGCTGACATTTTGCAAAATCAGAGCTTCTTACAGAAACCTCTGTATGAAATTCAATCTTTATTGGTGTCAAAGTAAAAACATGTAAAAAAGCATTGAAGTGCCCCTGACAAGTAATTTCAGCCCTTACCTTTAGAAAGCAGCTTTCGGAACTTCTGGGTGGCTGAAAGCTGCTGCTCTGGACTATTGGAGAAAATCATCTCAATCATATCAGAGGTGATGACTGCACTCTAGGATTCAGGTGGAGGAGACAGAATAAGAGCGGTAGAGAGCAAGAGGGGAAACAAAATCTGTTATTAGTGGTACACAGGTTACCATATCTGCTAAACCGTTATCAAGATTCTCTCTTATTGAATAAAAACCTAGTTAAGACCATTATGGACAACAAAGGAACCATCATACATGCACATCATAAACATCATCATTCTTAAGTGTAGTCTTTCTTTTCTGGAAGCCAAAAATCAAATTTTACTTCAGAAACAGCACGAAAAGTACTTTTCAGAATCTCTCACTGGTATTCCAGTCCCTTTTTTTCCTATCTCACCTCCTCTTAAATAGATGTAAAATTGTAAGCTTCAACAAAAATTGGATTAGAAATGACTGATGCATGACCACCACTGATTATGCTATTGTTTAGATTTCTGTGATGTGTAGACTGACTCATACTTTTACACCAAAATGTACAGGAATGGTCATTTTTTAGAGGAGCTGACAAACCTAATGCTTGCCATCATAATCAAATAGGAGTATTAAATTTTCCGTAACACTGGTGGTTTCCACCAATAAGGCTAAACTGAATCAGGAACATTTCTTATGGCAGGTAAAATCTGACGTCATTCATCACACATGTAAGGCCACGGAAAGAAGCATAAGGGAAGCTAATTTTTTCTTCTGCTTCTGATTTAAATCCTTAGATCTGATCCAAAACCAAACAGCTCAAATCCCTTACCATTCTCCTTTCCATGGAAAGGACTGTGGTAAAGGAACAGGGAGAAAGGAGAAAAATCTAATTTCCATGATGAAATTCCAGTTTGGAAAGGAGTTTAAAGTTAAACCCATGCAGACAGATAAGCTAGGTCTAGTTGTGTTTCTAACACTCTGGCTAAAAACGGTGCCACTTGAAAGTCCAAGAAGATGGACTAAATCTAACAAAGATTTCCACTGAGCCCCTTTTTACTTTGCAAATTGCAATAACCCAGTGTCTGGTTTGCATTTTCCTGTTTCAAGCATTATGAATTTCAGATTAAAAAAATAATCAACCAAACAAACAACAACTCTAGGGAACAGCTGATAAGATCACCCAAAATGGTGAACATCAAACCCAGGAAGTAATCAGTCTGCCTGGAACACTGACATTTTATTTCATTTTCTTGAAAGTATATCCACTGAGCAACCACTCCCTCTACCCATAACATTTTTCTCTCATACAATCTGTTTCAGGGCAGTTCCCTGAAACAGGTGTTTAAGAGCTGTCCAGAAGCTCTTTGAATACTGTCCTTTCACATTCTTCTAGAATTCTCTTCCCCTCAATTCACGGTACAACAGATCTATCTCATTTCAACATTGTGTTCTTTTCTCATCACTTACAGATGTCATCTCCATGTTGTTCATCTGTGCCTCGTGGAAGCCACCATCTGACATCACTTCCTCCTCCGCTTCTTCCTCAGCTGTTGCAACATTTCGGCGTTTGAACAGCTAAATAGAGAAATTATTTCATACATATAATATATGGCAAATATATACACAGCATGTCATGCTAGGCTGCAATAAAAATGACATATGCTATCATATGCAATATGAAACAAACTAGTATAGTGGGTACAGGACTCAGCTCCTGAGAGCTAATGGAGAAAGCTTAATCATGGAGTAAATTAAAACAAGGCACTAGAATATTGGTTCCCAACATTTCCAATAAAATTCTCACTGATACTCCCCTCTGTTCACAGTCCCCCTCCACCTACAAGTTATCTCTAGCTTCCAGACAATTGCTTTCCTGCAGAGGATGCTGGGGCTCAGACTTGAAAAACTGCTGTGTATAACAGATCTTCGTAGAACACTTGCAGAGGCTGGGATAACTGAGTTATAGTAGCATAGAGAGGGATTTGGAGGATGATCATGCAGGGTTGAAATGACACCAGGATGATAAGAATTTGGTTGCTACCACTTAAAAGAAGGTACCAAGTTTGAGATGTCATGAGGAGAGCTGGAGAGGCTACAGCTCCTCCCCTTCATCCAGCTGCCTCATTTGAAGAAACATGAGCAATGACGCGACGTCTCTGGGGACGCTGCTCTGCCTGTTGAGTTCAGGAAGAGAGACTTCAGCACTGAGCCATGTCAGAGCTGCACTGCTGCAGACAGGCAAGACAGGGCCCTGGCACAGACCTGCTGGGACTCTCCTCGCCAGAGAAGACGGGGAGGAAACAAACCTGCTAAGGCTACAGCAACCCAGTCAGTGAGAGGCACCCTTACGGAATGATACTGATTCTAAGCTACTGGATGATGTGCCCACTCAAGCTCAAACACGCTCAAATACAATCTTAAACCAAAATTTATACGCTGCCAAGTTATATGAAAATTCTGAGGCCTGAGGTTGTTTCTGCAGGGTTCTTCGCCTTAAAAAAAAACACCACAGAAGATAAACCCCAAGAAACAGAATTTTAAAGAAACTTCAATGAGCTATGTGGCAAATACATAAAAGTACCTGTACAAGGCCTGAAATTGTAGAGGGGCAGACTCTGCTTGCAACTTCACTTTTGCTCCACTGTTAGTCCAGTTAGGCCTAACAGTTTTCCTTAACAGAAGGAAACACTGCCACACTCTTTATTTAGCCAACCTGCAGTAATCGGGTTCAGGGGAGGTCAGAGGCACGGATAAGACAGAAAATGAGTCATCATTTTCCAGATTTAGTAATGGCTTTACAAGCAAGACCAACAGCATTCTGTGCTACCAGCAGCCTGGAGATGCTACCTGCAGACACTGAGCAAAATCAGCAAGAATTACTGCAATTCCCTCTCAGAACTCTCCCCACCTTCCCTTTAAGTATCTGGTATTGCCAGTGTGAAAACAGTATTAAACAGATTACAGACTTGATCTACCACTCCAAACACAAGCATATTGCTGTCTTCATTCTAACTCCAAAAACCTCAACATTAATGAAGGCTTCATTGTAATTAACTTGTTTGAATTTGAACCATTCCCTTAAAGTTTCCAATGAACACAACTAGGAACAAAAGGAATAACTGTTCAGTGCTACCTGTTTTTTATCAGAAGGTTTTCATCATGTCTTGCCACTGCTGCTGTTTCCTGACTAAACCTGCAGAGCAACTGCCACTTTGCAAAGTGAATGAAGCAATAATTAGCAAGACATGAGAAGATAGAGAAGCTTCTTTTCCAAGCTTTTTCTCAATCCTTTTGCTTACAACAAACTAAATCCACTAATGAAGGTACCAGCCTGACAGGCATAAACATTGTTTATACACTCACACATTAGCTGAATCTTAAAGACAGAAAATAGAGAAGTATCAGGTCAATACATTATTTCTTCCCTCAAGAAATTCCTTAATGCAACTGATAAAGGACTTGGTCAGACCTTCTCCTCCTCCTACTCTAGCTGAAATGTTTCCTTCCATTCCACTCCAGCTTGTCACTCTTTGAACAGAGTTTAGAGCAACTTGAACTCAAGTAGCAAAAAACCAACCAACTAAACAAACAAAAAAACACCCACAAAAAAAAAAAAAAAAAAAAAAAAAACCAAACCATAAAAAAAAAAAAAAAACCAAACCATAAAAAGAAAGAAAACCGGGACTTCCCTCAATCACCTTCAGTGAAAGGTCAAACAGCTTTGTTCCAATCACCTTTAAGCTGCTCTGACCAACCATACACTTGAGTGAATGAGGAGCACTCCCTCAAGTTTTGCAGAGCCTGCAAAAGAGGCAGCAAAGTCTGCAGGTGACTGATCTCAGACTGCCTACGTATTATTTAGGCAAGGCAGAAACAACTAAGAAGGGGCTTGGGAGAAGGAAGGAGCCAGAGTCAGTGCAAGGGAAGACATCAGGGACTGGTTACAGTTACCACAACTGCAGTGTCATACCTGTTCCTCTCTCTTCTGCTTCCGTAGCTGCAGACCCTCCTCCTCCCGCCTGCGGCGCATCTCATCCGGGTTCAGGGATTTGTTCTTGTAGCTCTTCAGTCGGAAATTCTCTTTTCCTGAGGTCGTCATGATTCCTTTGCAATACAATTGAAAGGAGAAGTCAGAAAAGAAGTACTCTTCAACATAATTTCTTTTTGTGAAAGCTTTTATTTTACTCTAAGGTTGCAAGGCATGAATAAATTGAAATATTTTATTAAGAATGAACGGAGACCTATAAGGCAGAGTACAGGGCCTGGGCTAAAAAGAATACTGCACTAATACATCTTAACATTTCTCCACATAGGGAATTTGCCAAACTATATTCTCCTGTCTTCACTTGAAAGTGAAGGAGTCTTAGATGTTTTTTAGATTAATTCACTTTACACGTCAATAGAGGGTGGTGTCTCTGTGTTTTTGTTTTTTGGGCTTTTTTTTTATACACCAAACCCACATTTTAAGCTAATTCAACACAACCCTGTGTTCTTTCTATCCAGACAAGGACTACAAGAAAAATGAAATGGAGAAAGAAATTTTAGGTGAGGATGGTATAACCGCTGAAAATTCTCACTCTTGGAAAGAAAGCAGCGCTATTCTTACCCCCCTCTCCACCCCCAGGTCTAATCCTGCTTCTGTTTATGCAGAGGGGCCTTTTTCAATCTAAGACTTCCAAGTACTGTCTTATATAACTCACTGGCTCAGTATTTATAGCCATCCATGATAATTTTCACATGTACAATGCTGCACTTTGGAGTTACATAAAACAAACAGCATAAAACAATAGCTATAAAACTGTGGAAAGACCACCACTCCTTAAGTCACTGGGCTGTGGATCTGCTCCTGCTGCTACTTCCTCCCTTACATCATCCTCTTTAAATGGAAGGAAGGTTGGGAACCAAATTCTAAGCATCTTGGTATTTCCATGCATCTTCACACAGATGCAGAATCTCCAACACATTGTAAATATCTGCAATTTTATAATGCAATATTTAGGAAACCAAACTACATAAAAAGTTATATTACAGGGCCTTTAAAGGTCCCTTTCAAATGCCCTAACGTGTCATACTAAATATGCTACCTACCTCAAATTCCATAAGCCCAGAGTTAGAAGGTGATATATGATCTCCTGTGCACTTTTTACTTTAAGATGGAGCAACACAAGTGCATACAGACTCTCAAAAGCTTAGGTTTCCTATTTAAAATACACCAAAGGTAGAATTGAGTCTACTCTAGCCTTTCAGTTAGCACAAAGAGTTCTAAGAGCTTTAAAAAAAAAAATTATATCCAAATGTGCTTCTTATTAGAGCCTCTTTAAGTTGCTGCTACCTGACAACCGTTTGTAAGAATTCTGATGATCAGGACTACTTCCAAAGAACACACTTCAGGCATCAGTTCAAGTGTTACTGTAAACTCCCAACAGAGATTTTAAAAACCTTAAGGGACCCAGAACTACTGTACTCAAGATCAGTTGGTCACAGTTTCTACTGAATGCAATGTAAAAACCTGAGCATATGGGTAAGAAATTCAACAGCTCAATTCTGCTGAAAAGGCTCTTCCTGAAATGGCTTTGACTTTGATTTGCTTCTGACTTTAAGGTAATAATTTTAATTTTCCTCTCAGAGCTCTATTAACCCCCATGTGTACTTTACGCCATTTCATTTATTGAAAATATGGGTAAAAGTTTTACTTGAATTCTCTGACTTTACTTCAACTGCTCTACCTGAACTCTTCACAAGAACTATCTTCTATTCATTACACCCTTTAGAAGCTGTAGCTGTAACTTTTTGCTATGCTCATTTCTGACTTTCAAGACTGCTCACTTTGCTGACTAACCCCTTCTGCTATTTCATGAGTAATTTATACACTTAAAAATCCCTTCAAAAATAGTGGATTGTGTTTTAGTTGGGTGTAAAGCCTTCCTACAGTTTCCTATCACCAAATGATTGGGCAGGGTTTATTCTATGAAAGCTGAAAGAAATAAGCTCCCCTCACCATTAAGAAGTCACTAATCCAACTAGTAACAAGTTCAATAATTTCTTTCGTAGTACCCCCGCACTGGTAGTAAATGAATAAATCCCAACACATAGACACATCCTTTTTATATACCTGCCTGTAGTTACACCTGTGTAACTATAATAGTTATACCTGTGTAACTATTAAATCTAAAGCTATTTTATAAAGGCAGCTCTTGTAATATCTCCTAATATTGATTCTTTCTTCATCATTCCTTTACCAATTCCTCAGGTACTGGTGACTACTATTCAATGACCACAGCCAGCTAGCCTGCATCTGCGGCTAGCATCTTAAGACCTCCTCAGCATGAACACAAACTATTTACTTAGGAGTGAAAATATAACAATTCTATGTTAGTTATAGTCATCCAAGGACTGTTTGCTATAAGTCTCCTCTTCGTTCTTCAGGATGTAGCCTTTCCCCCAGACTAAGCCACAAAGGCGAAACAACTTCAGACTGCCACACTCATCTTCAGCAGCTTTGCTATGGCTTACATTAAAATCTTTCAATGGTCACTTTAAATTCACCCATGCTAATTTCTTCCTAGCAAATAGCAAACCCTCAATCTTCTTTGCACTATCAAAATTAATGATACTTCTGGTGAAAAATCTCTGGTGGTTGTCATGGAAATGTTCTACCCATCTTCTCTCTCCTAAAGATAGCGCAGTATTTTCCACATTTTTCGCATACTCCTGTCGACAGATAAAAACCTCTGGTGAGCTGATGAGGAATTTTCATGTTGTATTCTTTGGGCTTTTGTGCAGCACCACCCAGAACACGTATGACACTCTCCTCAGTATGGATGCCATGAAGAAATGATTTTTAGTTAAATTTAAACCACTATCTATTCCTGAACGTCTGTGCTTCCCTAAGGAAATTACAATCCCCAAATTTTTTGCTGATCAAGACAAGTACCCTGCCAAATGTAGATGTGTCCTAAGCATACGTTTCTCAGAGTAAGGAGAAATACTGCCTTTCTCCTTGCTCATCAAGTCAGAGAAATCCAGAGGCACTAGGAAATGCAGAGTCACTTACTGCAATGACCTACCTTGTCCCAAGTAATCATCTAGACAGGAACAAAAATGAACTCCCTGCCTTCTCAAATCAGCTATTACTAGACTTAAGGGCTTGGCCAGAAGGAATGCCATGTGACTAATATTCCTGTATATTCTATGTCAGAGGTATCCAGATGTAAAAATAAAGGCCTTACAAATCAAGGCCTGCGTAACGGTGTATCTATAGTGCAGATGACTGAAACTGAGATTACCAAACACACTGCTGTTATTAAAGACCACTGGAGACAAACTTCCCTTCTTGGGAGTTAGAAAACCCTTCTTGGGTTAAAAAAGAGTGCATTTCAGAAGTGTAGAATAGTATAAGAAATTCTACTTTCCAGTGTAAATATATCCAAAGAGGAAGACTTGAAAATGAAGGCAGACAATGAGGTTGAAAAGAAATAGGACAAGTGATAAAAAAAGATATCCTGAAGATCCACAATTCAACATACTAGCAGTGTACATTTCCTAACGGAGGCAGTTGCCAGAAGGAAAGGACTCACTGGAGGCATACTTGTGAGCTCTCCTGTACTGTCAAACTGCTATCTCTCCTTTAGGTTGCTGTCAGAAAGATAGTGAAAAGATATGAGGCACTGTTGGCCCTGAAAGGACAACCTGTGTTGGAAACAGCACTGTCAAGACAGAACTCCAAACAGTCACAGAAGCTGGAATTATTCAAGGTAAGAAGTGGTTCAGCTATGCTACAAAACCTTTACTTCCAAGGACAGTTTGTTTATTGGCTCTGCCACAAGAGGACTCGTGACCTCCTACAGAATTAGTTTCCTCACAATCACACTGGACATCACATCAAATACCTACAGCACAGCCTGAACAGACGTCTGAGCAATTCACCAAGTTCTAATTACAGGATGCATTGTCTGCTGACACTCCTAGTGAGAGACTACCAAACCTATCCAGTTTTAACAAGTCCTCTGAAAGCAGCACTTGGTGATTCGTTACTCATCAACACTCTCCTTACAAATCCAACATTTTGGCCACAAATGTGTTTGGTTTTTTAACCCATTAATGCTATTTCCCTGGAAAAACCTCTAGAGCAACACCCTACACATGCAATCATCCTAGAGATGATAACGCATCCACGAAGCCTCTACACTGTTGACAGTGTTATCTGAGCAGAAAAAACAGAAAATGAAGAAAACGAGCAGACCAATCTCTGTCTTCACTGCCACCTCCTGTTTGAACAACCAGCTCAGCCAGATAAACATTTTGGTGAGGCTCTATCTGCTTCTTTTGCAAAAGTATTTGAGAAAGCATACTGGATTACAGGGGTCTGTGGAATGCCCCTCAGCAGAAATATTCGTATCACCTGAAGGACGGGGTGTTACTTTCTAATTTCCAAACATCTTTAGACCTTTGACAAGCTCAGGACATCTACAGGAAAGCATATTTAATCATCTCAACCACAAAAAGCCATTGTTCAAACACAACACAGCTGATTTCTAAATCCTTTGCTTAACTTTCTCTAGTTGTAAAATGGGATTGAGCAACACATCTCACAGGCACTATAAAATTAACAGTTACAGGATTTGCAAAGACCTGCAAATTAAGTTGTGCTGCTGATGTATCAGAAGCTAGCACGAAGAAACAATTACATGCATTTCTTTCTCCTTGGTTTGGGAAGGCTGCAGCAGCAGCAGCATGGGTGAGTGCTGTTCACTAGCAGGAAAGACAGACTTCAGTTTATGCAGAGCAGGAGGGACCAATGGATCATCACCCATGGATAAAACACACAGCCTTGGAACAGGGTTCAGACTTCTAAGGGTCTTCTGTCAAAAACTGGAATAAGCAGGGGACTTCTTCATGGAACTGCTGCCATCTCTGAATCTTTCAAATAGAATATATTTTGCAGGCTTCCTGGACCAATAAGTTTTTTTCCCCCTGCTCAGTAGTAGGCCTTAATTCATAATTGTTTCTCTTCTAGCACCTTTATAAACCCGTGAATTAGCAAACCAAGTACTAATTCACCTACTCTACACCAGGTTGGGCAATGCTCTAGTTCTAGAC